TTCAAAAAATATAAAAAATATTTTACATGAAATAAATAAACCAAAATACCCCCAAAAAGTTTTGAGGGTATTTTTTTTTTTATTAGGTGCGCTTTGATAAGAAGAACGCACGGCTAAAATTTCAAGTGATCTGGATTTGTAGAAAACAATTAAAATTCAAACACAAAATAAGACCGTGATCGTCAGATCGACCCAGAATCAATCTAGGACGTTAAACTCATATGTTCATATGAGCTAGTGGGCTAATCTCATCTTTTCCCATATATATACATGTGGAAAATGCTATGATTAGCCCACTAGCTCATATGAACATATACGTTCATATGAGGCCAATGGCCCAAATTGAATCTGGGCCAATCTGACGGTCACGACCTCATTTCGCATTTGAAATTTTAATTTTAATTTTAATTTTTTTTACAAATCCAAATAATTTTAAATTTTAGGCGTGTATTCTTAAAAAATAGGAGAATCTAATAAAATTATTAAAAAAATCATTTGTAAAGAATAAATTATTCAAACTACCCAGTAAAAGTTTCGAGGGTATTTTGATCAATTTAGTTTTGCAAATTATTTTTAAAATATTTTTATTAGGTACGCCTTGATGATAAGAATATATGCATAAAATTTCATGTTATTTGGATTTATAGAAAACAAATTAAAATTCAAACATGAAATGAGGTCGTGACCTTCAGATCGGCCCAGATTCAATCTGAACTGTTGAGTTCATAAGTTCATATGAGCTAGTGGGCAAATCTCAACATTTTCCTATCTATATATAAAACAAATTAAAATTTAAATACAAAATGAAATCATGACCGTCAGATTGGCCCAGATTCAATCTGGGCCATTGGGCTCATAAGTTCATATGAGCTAGTGAGCTAATCGCAGCATCTTCATATATGGGAGAAGATGGGTTTAGCCCATTAGCTCATATGCATATATGAACGCAACGTCCCAGATTGAATCAGGGTCGATCTCACGATTTACGGATGTTTGGTAGTATTTGAATTTTAATTTTAATTTTTTTACAAATCTAAATCGCTTGAAATTTTAAGCGTGTGCTCATCAAAAATAAATGAATCTTTAAAAAATATCAAAAAAAGATTTTACATTAAATAAATTGACCAAAATACCCCTAAAATGTTTTGAGGGTATTTTGATCATTTTGTTTTTCGCGAATACTTTGTTTTATATTTTTATTAGGTGCGCATTGATGAGAAGAATACATACCTAAAATTCAAGTGATTTGGATTTGTCGAAAAAAAAAAAAAAAATTCAAACACTACCGAACATCTGTGATAGTCAAATCGGTTCAAATTCAATCTGGGACGTTGGGCTCATATGTTCATATATGAACATATGAATTCAACGGCCCAGATTGAAAAAATGGGATCAGCCTATTAGCTCATATGAACATATGAGCCCAACGGCCAAGATTGAATCTAGGCTGATCAGATCTGACGAACACGGATGTCTGGTAGTGCTTGAATTTTATTTATTTTTCTACAAATCTAAATCACTTGAAATTTTATGCGTGTGTTTTTCTCATCAAGGCACACAGGGGATAGG